TAGGAAGGTAGGTAGTGTAGTTAGTGGTGTACTTATGTCACATAGTAAGTAGAGAGTAGTATATATATATATATATATATATATATATATATATATATACATATCTGAATACTAAACTAACTGACTACTCATCGTTTGTTGCAGATTCGCGGTCTGGTCACCGAAGGTCAGCTACTAGCCGCACTCACACATGGACGTTGCACGGTCAGTGACCATGTAGAGAAGTGCATGCTGCACTTCAACACGAAGAAGAAATTTGAGGTTATCAAACCTGATACGGTATGTTCTTTTTGTGTGACTTGCGTATTATTATTCCATATTGATTTTAGACCGTTTTTTCTTGGTGTTGGGTGGTACCCGCGTGTGTATATGCAGAAACAAAAAAGACCCATGTATGTGTTGCGCTTAAGTCAAAGCACACATAAAAATCACACATAAAAATAGATTCCGAGAACATATGTACTCACCCTGTGTGAATTCAATTTTGCCTGACTTTATGTGTTTTCGTTGCCATGTGAACGCCCGAATTGATCCGAACCATGGTATGCACAACTATATAACAGCCACTCAAATCGCTGGAGATGTTCTTCGAACACCATCACATTGGCTTCACAACCGACGACTCTGGAAACCTAGCCGGTGTGATGACAAAGATCGATGTGCTCAAATTCCTGGTGAAACAAAATTAATAAATGAATGCCTTGATAGTGGAATTTTTCCATTCACAACGCTCTGATAGGATCGATTATTGCTTGTCTGGTCACGAGTCTTGATTTTCTTACTGTAGACTTGTACTACTCTCGCAGTTAAACGTCTAGGTCTCGTGGGGACATGGCACGGTGGTGGAAGATTGATCACCATCTCCTCGATCAGGGTTTGATAGTTTAGGTTTAAGATCTGCCCAATCTAACGACGACTTTAAGTTTGCTTCCCGTCTCCGACTTTGTTATAGCAGAGTCCAGTAACTGACTGAATTGTACACGACCACTAACGCCCTTATTTAAATTGACACCGTGGATAGTCGCTTACATTTGAGTCCCGGTTCCCAAGTGCTCAATTGGTGACATGCTCGCAATTAAAACAGGTGGGTTGAGTGCAAAGAAAGCACATTAGAAAGCTCCATGTATCGCTCAAGCTATACATACAATCCTTAGTAGCAACACAAGAGGTAAAACATGAACTGGCTATTTTATCAGAGGTGGGTTGAGTGCAAAGAAAGCACAATAGAAAGCTTCATGTATCACTCAAGCTATGCAATCCTTAGTAGCAACACAAGCGATAAGTCATGAACATGCTATTTTATGGTGCCCTCCACCCAGATGCTCCACCCAGATGTTCCCAGATTCATTACAAGTCTACCAAACTTTAGTCAAATATTTTAATCGCCTACAGAACTAAAATCACACTCGGAATCAGATGAAACCCTAAAACCCCTAAAAAGCCGCATGTAGAGCACTTTGAACAACCAGCCTTATCCACCCGACTGTGATTCACTCGCAATTTTTAAAAAGCTATCTGCGATTGGAGGACGCTATGCTTGTCTTGTTGGCAAGTAGGTCTCGCTGTCTCTCCAGGAACGAGCGTGGTCTGTACACGTGCATAATAGAGGAGTGATTAGAATTTGCTTTTTTTAGGAAAACGAGGGCTGAGTTTGAGTTGTGGGGTCTGAAGACCAGGTCACTTTCAAGGGAAGAGCGATATCTGCGCTCTTGCACCCGTAGATATCATTGTATGACTGTGCGCTCTACTGATCAAGTTTTCTATAGTGCGGATTCAAGATTACTTTCCAGGAACAAAACAAGGGTGATCTGTACACGTGCATAAATACGAGAAAAGGTTCATAGGTTTGTCATGTACGGCTGGTTCACACGCGTGCCGTGAAAAAGGCAGCAAGTTGTTCGTGGCAAGTGATTGGGCTATGCATCGAATTTAGTGCATACTACGTATGTTCATATACGACAGCATATTGGATACATACCCTCGTCCTCCGTTTCTGTCTGTAATACTCGCACGCTGTACCGAACATCCCAGCGTGAACCAGGCGGAAGTCATCAGCTGCATCTCTGTCTCACTCCGATTGGCTTCCTGTTGGGCTCGTGACTGTAGGCGAAACGTGAACTCTGCTTGTTAGTATTCCCCTTAAATAAGTGTACATCTCGAAATCATTTGCTCAGTTATTTTCAAATTGTGCGTATTATATATATATATATATATATGTATATATATATAGATATAAATATATATGTATACATATA